GATGTCCAATCAAATTTTCACAACTTTGTAGCCCACAATAAAAAGCATCAATAATAAACATATAAAAAAATAAAAATATGCATAATCATCCGCTAATGTGACTTATCCAATTAGTGTCCAATCAGCATTTAAAAGAATAAAAAAATATTAAAAAAATTAAAAAAAAAAACTATAGCAAGTTGTCTATTGAACATGGAACCTGCTACATTATACTATTATTTTTTTTTACATTTTTAAAATTAAATTTGTATTTTTAGAAAAAATGTAACTTTCAATTATGTTTACCTTAAAAAGCAAAAAATTAATTTAATTTAAAAATCACTTGGCCATCCAAATAATATATCGAGATTTTTATTTTGTTTTAAAACCTTATTTTGAGCTCATTTAAATCATTATACTATTATTTTTTTTTACATTTTTAAAATTAAATTTGTATTTTTAGAAAAAATGTAACTTTCAATTATGTTTACCTTAAAAAGCAAAAAATTAATTTAATTTAAAAATCACTTGGCCATCCAAATAATATATCGAGATTTTTATTTTGTTTTAAAACCTTATTTTGAGCTCATTTAAACTCAAATTAGACACCTATAACTAAATTTTATTCTTATAAAATTCTAATAGTTTTTTTTTTTGCAAAATTAGATTTTTATTTTGATTTAAGCCCTTATTTTGGAAAAATTATTAGATGTGGAGTGTGCACCGTCCTCACAAATATTACTACCTAACGGTATGGAGTCCAGCGATATCGAGTGCCGATATCTAAGACTTGTGCGAACAATTCTCCCCGTCAGTACTCCACACCTAATAATCTCTCCTTATTTTGAGTTGGGCGATGCGAAAATTGAGGTGCAACATCCAAATTTCCAAAAATAAATTTCACAGATGTGTCCGTAGACGTTTCATGAAGGTTGGTTCTTGTCGACTAGGGTTTTTGGGAGCCGGGCATGGCAGATGAGGAAAATGAAAGAAGACCTGCAACTATGGATCTGAATCTTTGTCTTTGCCTTCCACGTTCTCGTCGCGGTCGCATTCTTGAATTGGGCTCCGATCTGTCTTTAAGCCCGTTGCCACTGCCGGGTTCCTCTCATTCCAGCGAAAGCCGTGCTCCTGAGGCAACCTCCGCGGAGATGGAGGCGTCGGCATCTCACGCTCCTCACTCCCCTTCCCATGCTTTCATTGCGGAAGCTGACGTTCCATCAGCTGGTCCCTGGCAACCGGCTGTTGAAGATACCATTCCCCCTCGCTGTCTTGGTTATGAACCTTACGAACCTACCTGTGCTCAGGAGACCGAAGGACCAATCATTCTATATTCTCCATCAAACGCTCAGGTTTTGCAGACCGATCAAGTGGTTGTTGAACCAGCGGAGAGAGATGGGGAGTACGATGCCTCAATTGACGATATATTGGGGCTCCGTTTCGTTGATGATAATTCAGCTCGGGACGACGCTTCTCAAACGCCATACTCCCCTTCGTATAATCCAACCTCAGCAGATTCCCACGATGATGACGAAAATTTTGATACTATCCTTTCTCTTCTATCACAAAATCGCAGTGAACTATATTCTAGAGCTGATGGGTCCTCATCACAGCAGGACCTGCTTCAGTGTCCTGATCGGATTCGAAGGTTGATTGAATCCCATGGTTGGAGGGAAAGTTCTCTTAGGCAATCGCTTTCACGCCGCTCTGAAAGAACAGATTTTGCTCGACATTCTTTACCTAGTCCCGAACAGTTGATGCTAGAAATAATGAATCCACAGCAGTCCTTAGCCACAACTGGGAAGCAGAAGGCTCCTGCTGAAGTTGCTACCTCAGAGAGCTCTGAGAAAGAAGCAGAGGAAAAAAATAAATGCGCAACTAACTTCGACTGTTATATCTGCTTTGATATAGCCAAGGAACCTGTTGTCACGTCATGTGGCCATCTCTTTTGCTGGCCTTGCTTATATCAATGGCTTCATGTCCATTCTGACGATAAGGAATGTCCAGTTTGTAAGGGAGAGGTAAGTGAAGCTATTGTAACTCCTATATATGGGAGAGGGTGCTCGAGATCTGATATTGAAAATAAAGATGAAGAAAACAGTGCATCAGGCCTCTCAATTCCTCCAAGGCCCCGTGGCAATCGGCGTGAAAGTTGGAGGCAGCATTTCTACTCAATTTCGCAAAGAGTTGCAGAAGGAATTACATACTCTTGGACCAGTTTTCTAAATTATCAGATACCCATTATGACTACGTCTGTGGTCAGAACAGTTGAGAGGGAAGGGGGGATTACTTTAGGCGGAGCAAGCACTGCGGAAAGAAGATTTCCAAGCGATGTTGCATCTGTTCTAAGAGATGGCGGAACAGAGTCCATTCACAATGAAATTGATGCTTGTTTTCTTGCTAATGATAGTTTGAGTGCCATGGATTCTGATATTGGAAGAGCAATTGAAAGATTTATAGAAAATACCAATTTCTATGGATCATCCTCATCTTTTAATGCACTAGATGCTGGGGCAAGAACGGCTGCTGATCAGGCACCTGCTTCAAGTACCGTGGCAGTGATAAGTGGTGAAAGCTCTGCTAGAGATGCCTCAGCAGAACCTAACAACGCTGGATCTTCTAGACCATACAGAAGAATAGAAGGAAGCATTTCTTCTGGCTCTTCTGATGATGGAGGAAGCCTTCATGCTTGCAAGAGGAGAAGGCTTCACTAATCATGTCTATGTTTATGTTCTATTATTTATTTTGCAATGTTCATAGATTTTGTTCTTAAATTGTTTATAGTGTCAGTGTTTTTCATTGAAAATCTTCTGTACTTAGCAACTCGTGACATTTTATCAATTTTAATGAGTTTTCTTGTATTACTTTTGTTGTTTATTCACATTTTATATACACAGTAGAAAAAATAGATATTTTAATTAGAGCTGTTGTTTGTTGTGATTAGTTTGAGCAACTGGAATGCTTGTTCATTCGTATAAGGTTGAATACGTGCAGCTTTATCCTGTATGGTTGTCTTAAATATCGTTAATGGGTTGATATGTGGTGATGATAAGTGGCATTGTCCTTTTGTAGTAAAACGTATTAGTTGATCTTGCATGGACTTTTCCAAGATGGTTTACAGGAGTGTAAGACATTTCATGGTTAAGCATCAGGGATTTTGTTCTACTTGGTTTTTCCTTTAACTTTTGAATATGCTGTGACAGGAAATCAATCGGCGCCCTCTTCTCTCTTGGAAGGCATTTTTACTAGGCACTAGGAGAGACTGTGGATGGCCTAGCCCAACATAGGTATTAGTTGAAGCTGCTTTCATTTTATTTAGAGGTGATATTTGCGATGGAGGTTAGTGTACCATCTATTTCTAGACAATCTTAAAACTTTTTGTTGTTCTTTTTTATGAAATTAGTTATCTTGTCCTATCTTATATTTGATTGCTTTCTTTATATTCTTAAGATTCACATGCATAGCTATTGGCCTATTGTTCTACATTGTATGGTCAAATTGTCTCTTGTAATCAACTTATAATTTTGGCAAACTATTTTCTTTCCTTACAAATTAAAAAAAAAATTTATGATTTTTTTACTCTATTTTTTTAATTACTCTTCTATGCAAGATCTTATGATCATATAACAAAGTTATAAAGGGTAGGAAGGAAATATAGATTTAGAAAAATTATGTTAGTTTCAAAGAGTTTTTTTGTTTCATGTCATAAAAGATGTATTATAGCGAGACTCGGGCTTCGGTAGTCTTGAAAGAAGTAATATAGAAAGAAACATTTATCTACTCATATCCGAAAAGTAGCGACAGCCACTTCGTTATTGATTTCTTTCTTTAGAGCTACTTCTTTCTTTCAAAACTTTATTTCCCTTTCCCCTTCTTGACTCAAGAGCTACTCAGAAGATTAGCGCATTCAATCAGGTTTCTAACTCCGCCCTTGCCTATTCAATCAATTGTGGTTGCGTCATACTTGCTTGTTGGAGTAGGAGACATGATCGATTGATTAGTTGAGGAGATGAGGTGCGGAGCATTTGTGCCCCGACATGCATCTACCTGCCCTCACGTGCGCATTGGGTCTTGTCTAATTGAAACGTTTTGAGCCTTCGTTTTTAGCCCTTTTGTCAGAGGAGGTCTATACCTGAGGGATGACTAGATGTATGTCCCCGGCGGACTCGATCTAATATTGCATTGCTTACACCGTGGTGGATGAATGTGGGTTGTTTGAGCTGAGATTTTGGAGTGGAATGGGCTGTAGCTATTACATGTTTAGATGAAAATGATTGTAGTCGGCTTGGGAATCTTTGAAGTGGGCTGCTGTAGAGTGGATTGAGAGATGGGTGTGTGTTGCTTGGCTTGAAATGGAGGGAAAACTGTTGCAGTTGAGCAGCTTTTCACGTGGAAGAAAGCAAAAGAAAGATTTTTTTTCAGCTTTGATTTTGCCTTAAAGAGGGCTCGTGAGGTCAGATTGGCTGAGGTAAGTGGATCAGAGTAGAGAGCTTCACGTGCAGCTGGTTGAGGGCGTTTTGGCATGAGTTTTGATCGTGAGGAACGACAATTTGATGTGGAGAACAGGAGGTTACAGGTGGGGTTTGCCGTTGTAGCTATGAGCAAAGGGTTCTGAGGTGAAGTTGGCTGTGGATTAACGTGCTTGTGAGGTGGCTCGTGCTTTGGAAGGATGGGCTGGAGAGGTGAACGAACGGCTGGTGGTGGAAGAGAAGTTAGGCGGCTTTGACGGGTTGAGTGATTCGCGAGGCTACTGAGAGTGGAGAGGCGGCTGAGCTTGGTTTGCGAACTTAGAAGGAAGAAAGAGTTTGGAGACGAACAGGTATTGACTTGCAATTGTATTCAGAAGAAGTAGAGAGGCTTGGGAGCTCCTGTGCATGAAGGCAGCAAGCAAAGGGAAGAACGTGCGTGTAAAACAAAAACTAGCGAACAAAAACCTTCGCTCGTTTCATTTTGATTTAACAATGGGAGCTGTTGTTATTGGAGGCCGAAGCGACGTCCGAGGCGAGAGTAGCGGTTAAAGTCGTGATTTGCACAATGCTCAGAACAAGTTATCCGAGGTTTCCATAGAATGGGCTTTGATTTTTGTTACTTTTGTTTCACCCTTTTTAATTGCCTAAATACAATAATAGCAATTAATTATCACTGCTACTAGGTTCTGAAATAACAGAAAACGGTCATTGACCAAAATTATCTCGATTCGCTCGCATCATCTCTCATGTGTTTTATCTCGTTTTGAGTGTCGATTTCGACGCACAATTTTCGTTAGACAAAACTTCAGTTCATTTTTGGTATTGTCGATGTTCTGATCACAGCGACGCAGTTCGTTTCGCGATCGGATATCATTTGGGCAACGACGCACGTTAATTTTCTTGATTTGCGCGTCGTTACCTCAGGACCCGCACTAATTTCGGACCACAATTTTAATTGAACAAATTGGTAGTCACTTTTGGGTATTGACAACGATCTAAATGCAATGTCAAAGTCCGTTTTATGATCGAATGTCATTTCGGCGATGTTGCGTGCCAATATTCTCATTTTGTGTGTCGTGTCTTGGGTTTCGTGTCGTCTCACTGGGCGATCCAAATTGAATAAGCTAATAATGATATTTGGGTGTCGACAATGTTCTGAATGCAATGACGAAATTCATTTTGAGATCGGACGCCGTTTGGGCGACGTCGCGCATCGATGTTGGGTGTCGGTCATCCATTTTGATTAATCTCGTTTGATTTGACTGCATGAGGACCTTGTTTAGGCGAACTCGATGACTTGATTGCAATGGCGCAGTCCATTTAGTAACTGGAGGTCGTTTGATCCTTCACGTGACATGTCGCATCCATGCGCACGTTGTTTGGTTAGTCGATTTTGCTCCGTTTGTCGTGGTTTGATGTATAGGTGTTAACAAATGCCCCCAACAAATATGGTACATGTCTAGAGCGTATCATATTTGTTGCGACGTGGTTGAGGGTCTTTTGTTGCTTTCTTTTTGCGCATTTAATTTGTTATGTTGTTTCTGACGCTTTTTTGTTTTCATCTTGTGCAAGAAATGTTCCATTGGGAGTGACCTTACGCTCTACCTCTGGGCAAGCCCAGCGCGATCGCCATTTGGGATGCTTTTAGGTACACATGACCATCAAGGTGGCGTTGATGTTCGAGATAGGTTGGAGCAACATCAGGACATGTTACGGGGGTAGGATGTTTTCCACAACTTCACCTGCTCCCCTCTGCTTCTGGAGTGTTCTGTAGACTCGTTGGAGTTCGAGTACCCTAGTTGATGGGTCAATTGTCTTAAATTGAAGTGTGGGGAGTACAACCCGCTGGAGAGTTTTGTTGCTCAGCTCAGTTGGGGTACTTGCGACGTTTTGGAGCCAGAAGCATATACAACCAAGTCAGTTGGGCAGTCGTGACTTCTTAGCCACCATCAGCTACAATCGACATCTTTGAAATGGCCACGAGATTTTGATGTCGGACAAGTTCAGAGTTCAGCTTGTGGCTATGCTCAAGCTTAATACACAAGCTTGACTCGAGCTCGAGCTCCTTGTTGATTGGACAAGCTGAGCTCAAGTTAGGTGTGGCTCAAGCTCTGGTCGACTCGTTTTCATCCCTACCTATATTCATCATGAATATTTTTAAAATTTTCAACCACCTTACTAAAATGTTCATTTAAATTTACTCTAATAAATACTATTTCTTCAAGAGATATATTTTGTATTAATTCTTATAAGTCATTCCCAAATTTTAATTTTGAACACACATTCAAACCTACTTAAGAAGCATAAGTACTGATAATATTAATAATTTTAGCATTAACATCATTCTTTAAAGCTACAATTTTATCTTTAATTTTATTAATTTCTACAATATTATCCTTCTACTCTTATATGTAATCACATTTACATCATTTCTTATATGACTCATACTTGAATACCATAGTTTAAATCTCAAACTATCAATCTTCTTAGACTTCTCTACAACCCATTTAGTTTTCTGAAATTACTAACTAGTATTAAAAATATTTATGGAGTCCAAAGAGATTCCAATTATAATAGACTTGCATATAGAATTGATATTAAGTTTGTATCTTTTTATGTTTGTGATAAAAATACTTATAAATGATATACAAATGAGGTGCCTTAGCATTGCTTTTTTTAAGATGATTGTTATAATTAGTAAGACTTGCATTATATTAGGTGAATGGAGAAAATGTTTAGTTGATAAAATATTTGGAATTAGTAAAATAAAGATTGGATATATGATGTCTTTGTTTAGTGGGTGAAGTATTAATTCCCATGTTATCTACACAATTTCTTTCTTTAACTATTTGATAATTCCTACATTGTAAAACCATTTTTGTAGTTTGCTTTTCAAGTTACGCCAATAATACTAATATGTTAGACCGGTCCAGCCTATCCACATGGGACCGACCTAGTCGCAAATGAGGCAGAAATTCTCCACCTCCTGCTCTAGCCGCATGAGCCGCATAGCCCACAAAGCTTTTTAGGAAGGATTTTTGAGGGATTTGGGAGGGAAATTTGAATGTAGGGACTGTTTAGGGTTTTTCTTTCTTTGTTCTCCTAGGGTTAGGACATCTTGAATTTGGTTGAAATTTGAGATATCTGAGTTTGTCTTGGGCTCTAGCGGCGTCTAGAGATTGGGAGAGATCGATCGTCCTCTCAAATTGAGAATTACTTGTATCTTGTTTGTTTCTCTTCCGTTAGTTTATTTTTGCATTAAAATTTTCAATTTTCCCTCTGGAGTTACGAAGAGTTTCTCGCTGTTTTACGAAGATTGATAGGAAATACTTGAGATCTACAAGTGTTTCCTATCAAATTGGTATTAACACAATTCTTGGGATTGTTGGTGGACT